TAACATGTATTGTTGACAATATCTAGGGAAGTCTTTCTCATGGTGCTTCAAGTCTTTGCCTGAGCTTTTAGTATGCTGTTGTATCAGAAGAAGTTGTCTTTTCGAATCTCACCAATATTGCATAAGGTTTTATTATTATTTGTTAGAAGATCTTATTCTGTTGCATTATCTCAAGTCTCAACTTTATGCAGGTATAATAACAGGAAAAAGAGTTTCTGGAAGTTTCTGTACATTGCTATGCTGGGATTAATGCTTGGCAGGTATGATGGGGATGGACTTGCTCGTACTGCAGATTTGATTATTTGGGTGTATTCTGACACATTTTTTACTTTTTAGTCTAGCCTGCACGGCAGTTTTTTTCATGGCATCATACGAAAACTATCCTAGTGGTTATGCTCTAAAACCTCTGCATAGGATAGGTGAGCGTTCTCTCTATGTTTTATTCACATTCTTTTGAGATTCACATGAGCCATGGACTGCTTGGTCCTCTTATACTTATGAGGTTCAAACCAATAAAAATCACAAAATAATGTCCTGGTTTTTTCCTCTTCCTTTTCATATTTTTAACTACATTATGAACAAAAAAAGTAAAAAGGAAAAGAGTGGAAGTGGTAGTCCCTGAAAGTGCCTGGTACCGTAGTGTTGGGGACAAGTAAGATAGCAATGTACAATATAAAGGTACTCAATTTAAATGGCTTCACATGATTATAAACGCTCATGGTGTTCTTGAGGATTGAAGAAATGTGGTCCTTTTTTAATGCAAAAAAGCTGTTTCTTTACTGGTTTCTTTCCCTAACAGCCTTTAAATCTGAACAAGAGATCTTGGTCTTGCATAATTAATCCGGAGGCGCTAACTTTATAGTAATTTGTGGTTCTCAAGCAGTTAATTGGAGCTCTGTTAATAGTTGGGTTATATTTTTAACTTTCCAGTGATCCTGCAATGCTGATCTATTATGTACCTCTATCAGTCACTACTCCCGCGGTTTCAATTTATATGACACATTTTCCTTTTTAGTACGTTTCAAAAAGACACATTTTAAGTTTGGAAACAATTTAAATTTACACGTTCCGTTTTACCCATTTTATCCTTAACGAGAAGCTTTTATAGCCACATAAATGTTATGGCCCCACAAAGCTTTTATCCTTTAAGCTTTTAGGACCATAAGTTTCAAAAGTTCTTTTTTTCCCCTTAAACTCCATGCCGAGTCAATCTATGTCACATAAATTGAAACGAAGGGAGTAATACTTATTAGTTCTCTCATTCGTTTTACTTTATGATTTTCTCCTAACTTTTATGTTTTTCTTGCTTACAATCTCGAGTTGAATCTTCACCTAGGTGGTATAACAAAGAACTCGGATGAACTCTGGGTTCATATTGACACTTTTTCAGCGATGAATGGAATATCCCGATTTTGTGAAGATAATTATCCATGGAGGTATGCTTTATCATCTTGATGCAATTCACTTAGTGGTCTTTTCTGGGAGGAGATCTCATTGGAAGAAATCGTTTGGAGGATCTCCTTTCCCAAAACTGTGTACTAATGCATATTTGTATCTGTTGAAAACTCGAGAAAAGACACTTAACAATTCAATTTCTTACTAGAAAAGCTACTCCAGATAGCTTTCTGAAAGTCCTTTGAGTACCTGGGCTTTCTGAAAAATCCAATCTTTTAAAAATGCTTCCCTAGCCTAAACCATAAGTTTTATCCCTTTTGATTAGAACTAAAAAGAAGCAAAAATTGGAACATTTTTACCAAAGAAAAATTATTGAATTTAGGAATTGGATGATCTGCTTCACTGATACTCCCTCCATCCCAATTTATGGACATTCTTTCCTTTTTAGTCGGTTTCAAAAAGAATGATACCTTTTTATATTTAGTAAATAACTTAACTTTAAACTTCTCGTTTTACCCTTAATGTAAGGATTTATAGCCACATAATTTTTATGGCTTGTTTTAGACCACAAGTTTCAAAAGTCTTTCCTTCATTCTTAAACTCCGTGCCCAGTCAAACACCATCACATAAATTGCGACAGGGAGAGAGTACGACATTTGATTAGTAATTGAGAGAATATAGATTTTTGGCTTGCTTAACTGAAGTAATAGCCTTTGCAAGGATTATGGCTGATTTTATCTATACTTTTAACCTTCAACAACTGCGCATCTTTCAAAGTTTATGTTATTGTTTCTCTTTTTTCCTTCCAATTGCATTTAGCTTCAAGATTGCTATGGTTTTGGGTTCAGGTACTCTAAAGAAGAAAATATTTATCTGGAAGACTTTCAGATGAGAAATTTCACATATCTTCTGAAGTGAGTTCTTTGCAATTTATTTATCTTAATTGCTGTGATAATTCTTGAAATAGATTGCAAGACAGTTTTTTGGGGAACAAAAGAAACATTTCCAGTTTTCTCTGTATCTTAGAGGCTAAGCCATTATGATCAGTTGTAAGTGGTTTGTTGACTGATGCCTGTGCTTCTAAGTTAATGAGTTGAAGTGGTATTCTGAGTCTAAATAAAGACAATGTAGAGAGCGTGAAAGAGTGAGGTGATTGTTGGGAATTAGAGCTTGATTTGATCATCGGGTAGCTTGAGCGCTTTGATCTTCAGACTCCCCAAACGCTTCCGCTGCAAGTTCTATATAGCTGTCATCTTTCTTTGATTGCAGAGCTGAAGTTATTTCCAAGTATGCTTGGTATATTTCAGTGTCATCTGACGGAAGATACTTTTGCTTTCAGTGACACCACTGCCCCTGCTCCCTGTTATAGGATCCTCATTAACCCATGCATGATTTGCAAAACTAGGGATTAGTTCTAAATGAGCAATGATGGACCTTAGCATGACCCAAATGGATCACTGCACTTACCTTGGAAAAGAAGCACATATTTGGTGGTCTTTATCTCTGGAAAATATGGTGATTAAGCTTCACATACCAAGAATAACTCTCGATAAAGGATGACATTGATTTTACAGAACGTGATATGATGAGTTCGTTAAAATTTTGAATTGACTTTGTAAATGAGTTGATTATCACCTTGCCAAGGATGACGCTTTATTTTTTTTTTTCCGGTGCCTCCTTTAGAAATGTTGATATCTACAATGGAGAGGCATTGCTCGTGTGACATTCCGTATTTTCCATCCTGGGACCAGACTCTTAAAAAATCTATCAGACAAACAAATTTGCATCTGAATTAATTGACGTCTCTATTATGATGCGTAGATGCTTTAAGGGGCATGGATCCCTGAAGTGTAAGGAGGCTATTGCATTATTGTTGTTAAACTAATAGAGTTGGTGTTACTGATGAAAACTAGGTCTGTTAGTCTAGTATTAATTAGGAATTTATTTTTTACTTCTTGGTTCATTGGTAGATTGAAAACTTGCTTTCCAAATATATAAATTTATAAGGTATTATGGATGACCGGATGTCTTGACCATATCTAGTTTGGGGGTACATGGACCTATATTGCCTCTACATATCTTTGACCTGTCAATGGGTTTGAATGACTTGACAATATGGATTTAAAGGCTTGTTTTGAGCCTTGCAATATTCTCGTGATTGATTTTTCGCTGTAAAAAAATAAGAATTTTACTCTATGCCAATTGCTGAATCAGAATAGTAGCTGTACCTCCTGTCTTGACATTTCTTTCTATTCCCTTCAGCTTTAAAGGCTTAGGTTTTAAGCACAATCAATCCTCGTTCTTCACTGATAGCGTTTTAATTAAATGGATTTTACTTATAGTAAGTACACCAGCCTCATCCCTGCCAATTCTGCTGTTACAGTGAGAATGTTTACATCAAAGGATTCAAATGTCTGATGAGCGTGGATGGTTTTTCTCGGCTTTGTGTACGAATTGGTTTTCCTCCAATATCACTGGTAAGGATATCTTAGACGATGTCAAATGATAGTTGTAATGTTCTGGGCAGCATCCTTGTTACTTTAACCTGTTTGCATCATGTAGGTAAAGGAACCGAAGGTGTTTATTCATGGTAACATAAGAAACACGGATATCACAAATAGAAGCTGGCCAGGATGCCCATTTATTCCCTGAAAGCATCCAGTAGTGGGTCAGAAAATTTTGACGAGGCATAATATCTAGTCTTATCACGATTCCTTTTTGCAAAAACTGAATGGAGAACGAAGGGTCAGACATCAGCCGTGCTCGTTACATGTTATGTAATGAAGCTGGAAATTTCAGCTGGTTGCTGACATTGGATCATCTTTGCAGAAAGGTGTGTTTCTTCTAGGTTTTCACAACAAAATAGTTGACATGTCCAAAGCTTCAGTATTTCTATTTGAGAAAACGTGGGACGTGGATGTAAAATGTGTTGTCTCTCTGGGAGAAAGTTCAAATTTTCTTATGGCACTCTTTCACTGAAATCCAACATAGAGTTCAAACGCTGAATATTCTTGTCACATTTTGCCACTATATGTGTCACTACTCTGGTATCACCCAACCTACTAAACGGGAGAGAAAATTAAAATTTGTTCTTTGTTTTTACAAGAACTTTGAACCCCCCCTGGTGCTTTTATGATCATATTTATAGGGTGGGATTTTGGCATATTAACTTTTGGTCTATTACAACGCCCCCCCCC